CTGTGGGAGTTTGAAATTCAGTCTCTTATTCTGGAGAACCTGGAACTGCCAGCAACTGGAGGAGGGTTGCTTTGGGTTGGTTGGTTTTTAATGGAACTGTAGCTAAAGGCACATGGAGAGCAGGGAGGGGACCCCCTAGGCCCTATTGTAGGCTAGGGTTAGGTAAGGGATCTGAGGGCCTTCTGAGCAACCCCAAGAGTTAGGATGAGCGCTGGAGTCAGGACAGACCTGCAGCTCAACACCTATTTGGAGCTGGGACTTCCTGTGCTTTCCTTGCACAGCTGGGCCCTGGGGAAAGAGGACTAAAGATGAAAAGAACAAACTAATGATGGGGTGCAACCACTGTAAGGAGCAGAGGAGGAGAGGAACAATGAGACACCTGCATCAATCTTTAGGTGTCTAAAGGGACTTGAATAATCTGAATCCTAACTGAGGATATTTGCTGAAACCTAATTAACTTTACCTGGTAGTCTCATAAGTGAGCAATATGTAAAGACTGCATTTTTAAATTGTTTCTAATGAATGTCTAGCCATTAAAAGATCCTTGTAACTAATAAATTTTCTACTGTAGATTTTAATTAAGCAGCAAAATATTTGTTAAGAATGAAATCTTTGAAGGAATGAATAGAAGGACTACCTAAGGTATATTATTTTGCATCATCCAATTCAAAAGGTAAATTTTACTTTATGTATGCATGAGAAATATTCTGCATTTCTTAATATTTTAAAATTAAACTAAAAGCTGAGTTCTCTTTCAAGACTTATTATATGGGAAACTGTTTTATCACTGTGGAGTTGTTTACAACATCCTAATGTCTCATTACAATCATTAGCATGTATTTAGTTAGAAAAAGCAGAATACCAAAGAAAGATTGGCCATGCAGGGTGACACTGAGCCATGTTACTAGAAACAAGGACAAGCTGTTAAATCCTCTCCTGGAGTAAAGAGCCCTCTGTTGAAATAGAGGCATATGGATTTTTGTAGCCAACATCACCCCCATATCCTGTGTAGCACGGCCAGAAGAAACAGACACTTGGACAAGATGGACAGTCTATTCCGTAGCAATGACTCATAAGCACGCTCACAGATTGCCCTCAGGCAAGGGTTTCAGCATCCAGCCTGATTAGGCCTCTTTCATCTCTCTCCCCACCCCACTGACCCCAACAGCAAATTCCCACCAGCTTCAAAAGGGGAGAACTTGATCAGTAGCCAGTAAGTTACAACTATTGCAGCTTTTCTTGTGCAAAAGCCTTCAAGGCCTTTTTTTTTTTTTTTTTTTTTTTTTTTTTTTTTTAAGATGGAAGACTGGTTAAGACTGGTAACAAAGGCTCCTATTATATTCTGAAATACCAGTCTTAGGCAGGAATTAAATGAATAACAAAATCACAAGCCCAAATCAAACAGTCACAACAAAGGGTAAGTAAAACATATGTCATGATCAACCCTCCGATTCCAAGCATGTGCTTTGTAAAGCACAATAAATACCATTTATCTTCTCCCCAAATGCTCAAGCAAACAAAAACATTCAAGCAGCATGTCATTTATTCATATTGACCAAGAAAATGAAAGAACCTTAGGCAGTATGCCAGAAAATTAAGCTCAAAGCAGATGATAAAACCAAAATTCACAGACAGTGATAGCCTCAGCAGACCTCCTGGACATGGGAGACATCCCTTTTTGCCTCAAGCTCTCTTTGAGCTTCAGCACTCTATTATCTACTTAAGGATTTTGAATGAACTATATACAACTTGAACTTGAATATGATTTGGGGGGGTTTTGTGCGTGCATGTGGTTTGTGTTTGGTTGGTTTTTTTTAAACTCTACAAAAGTGAGCAGTTAATTTTATAAGCATTCCCTGAGAAAACATGCAATTAAAAATACAATAGAACACAGGCAACTTCCACCACTGAATGCCAGTTCAGCTGCTAGCAAGCAAACAGCTAACAAAGGGTTTCAGATCCCAACACTTGGGAGGACTGATGTCTGTTAACTATGTACTTGAAATTCTTCATTTTAATAGACAGCAATGTTGTAAGCATGTTTCACAGGAAGAAGTCTTCCCTATAAACAAAAATGCCAAAGCAAGACTATATTATGTGCTATTTTGCAAGATTATGTTCATTATACATAAATTACTGTCCTGGTTTCAGCTGGAATAGAGTTAATTTTCTTCCTAGTAGCTGGCATAGTGCTGTGTTTTGGATTCAGTACCAGAAGACTGTTGATAACACACTGATGCTTTAGTTGTTGCTAAGTAGTGCCTAGACCAGTCAAGGACTTTTTCAGCTTCCCATGCTCTGCCATGTGCACAAGAAGCTGGTAGCATGGGTAGCACAGCCAGGACAGCTGACTCAAACTGGTATCCCATACTATACGACACCAAGCTCAGTATATAAACTGAGTTGGCTGGGGAACAGCAATTGCTGCTCCAGGACAGGCTGGGCATCGGTCAGCGAGTGGTGAGCAATTGTGTTGTGCATCACTTATTTTATATATTCTGTATATTCTCTTACCATTATTATTGTTATTATTTTCGTCTGCTGTTTACTGTCTTTATCTCAACCCATGGATTTTGCTTTTTTCCCCATTCTCCCCCCCATCCCACTGAGCAGGGGGAGTGAGCAAGCGGCTGTATGGGGTTCACCTGCCTGCCGGGTTAAACCACAACAGTTACTTTATTAAACAAAGCCATAGGCTTAGTCTCACTTTGAAAACAATCTGCTTCCTATCATCTAAGGATTTTCGGGGGGGAAATAGTATGTTTTTATAAATACTGTGCTCTCCCCAGCAGTATCTGCCTCACAGATGGCCACAAGAACCTCCAAGCATTGAGGGCCAGCAAGAAGAAATCCATCTGTGTGGGCAGACAAGGGATGATCACCCTCGCGGGAGAGGAAGCAGGGAACAATCAACCCGTCCATTTAAAACAGGTCATTAGAAAGAAGCAGTATCCAGAATATTTGTTAAAATCTAGAACTAGTCTATAGGAATTAGTAATTCCAAAGAAATAAGTGAAGTACCTCCAACTGAAGTGCTAGTCATAGGGCATAAACAACTGTAACCAATTTTTGAAAATAACCCAGAAACACAGCTGAAATAAACCTCAACATAAAGAGCAAAAGCTAAACAATTAATTCAAGAGATAAATATAGGAACAGGCCATTGGAGAAAACGTTTCTCTAAGAGTGTCCAGCTGATCTTTAAAATTTAATCACAATTCACCAGTCAATGCTTCCTTACATGTTTTATCAAGAGACACTTCCCTGCAAAGCCCTCTAGTACATACTGGTCATGTATTTGCAGGGTCCACTTAAACAAATCAATTAGTCATTAGTACCTGGTGTGCATCCAGCTTAATCAAATAGTCTTTTCATCCTTTACCGTAGATCAGAAACAATCCCTGCAGAGTAAATGATGTAGTATCTTAAAAGTCATGCTGTGTTAACAACTGAGGTCAGGGTTATAGAGATCATTTTAGGGCTTTACATAATTTTCAGTTTAACAATAAAAATCTACATGTGGCTTCCTAGGACAAGTTTGTTTGGTTAACTCCCAGGTATTAAAGAGCTTACATTCATTTTATGGAATTAAAGTCTGTTCAAAGATTTTAGAAAGTTATCCAAGGTCATAACTAGTTCAGAAGGCTATCAGTTTTCTTAAAGGACTGAACAGACTACAAAACCAGTGCAAGACTGTGACCAGTACTCCCTGCTCCTGACCCCTTATGCATATTTATTTTTTTTCCTCCAGCTAAGTATAAGTTGACAGGGAACAGGTCTGTCAAGTACAAAAATAAGCAGCTACAAGAACAAGGGGGGGAGAGATAGGAAATAAAAGTTATACCATACAGATAATACTAGCAAATCCAGAACTAGGTTAAATAACGGAGCTCAGGAACCAAGCCTAGAGCCTGAAGCTACTCTATATGCAATACATGCATTGGACTAGGCAATATAGAACAGCAATCCCAAACATTCATTTTGCGAAACAAAGCAAGCCAACAGCTAACTGATTCAAAGCGCAAATATACTCACCTTCTCCAAAGCTTAGTTGCTCAAATCATTGCTGTAAACATAAAGCATCAGCTGTTCAGAACACTGACGCTATAGCCGCCTTCTGACGGTGGGTGCTTTCACAAATTGATTAAAATAACTGAGCAGGCTTCATTTTCACAAGCCCTGGTGGGATCAAAATCACCCACTTAATATATTCACCAGCTTAACTATAGGTGTACTGACCTAGAAAAGAGCTTTGATGCCTTCTGCATCCCTGGTTCCATCAGTGCTGACAGAGCAAATGTGTCTCACTCTAGACTCTTTTGAAGCAAAGAAAGTGGAAGAGGTCAAGTATTACCTTACATACCATCTTTTTTTGAATGCCCTTAAAAAGCTTACAGATTTACCATGGATGTAAGAGATAGCGATGATAATTTACCTACGTATTTGAATACAACCTCTAAAGTAATGCATGACATAACAGTAATTTCACCTACTGCGATTAAATCGCAGTTTCTGAAATTTGTTCTCCTGTGTTTTCATCTCATCAGCACTGACTGACCTTCCTGATGACCAAGCAGCCAAGTACCAGATCCCCTGCAGAGCCAAGAATCACATGCACTTACTACCTCTCTCCAGAAAAAGATATGAAGGAGCTCTGGGAGAAAGAACACCTGGCAAAATAGTCCCCAAGGGTCCAATACTGAGAATCCACTTGAAGACCCCATTTCAACTACAAAGCAATTAAGAACTATCAACACCAGCACAAGAGACACTTGAACTGCTCGTTAACCTCCTACCGTGGCCATGCCTGACAGCTACAATACCATTATGAAAGCACCACTGGATATGTTGTTTCTTTTGTCTCTCCTCTCACACAAGAGTCTGTTGTCACCTCTTGAAATTTAAGACAGACAAATACTTAAGTATCAGATATGTTTATTAGACAATTGAAAAAGTCAGTTTTATTAGACAATTCAAAAAGAAAAGTAGAATATGTTTTAATTTCCATGTTTTAATAATTCATCCTCCCAAGAACCTGGCAATCACAGAAAATAAAAATAGTGTTTACAAAAGTTACAAAAGCTGCACTGCATTCCGGATTACAGAAAACATGATTAGTTGACAAGGAAGCTTTATAAAATGCAGTAACAGATTTTCACCTGATTATGAAACATAGCGATATTGCCATGTATATGCACTCACAAAATCAGCGTAGTATTGAAATTAAGGCACTTTGGATACATAGTATTCACTTTCATATAGGAAAACAATTTCAGAGAAACCACAGTGAATTGCTACTGGTAGATAGTGACAGTATGCCCAGTACTGGCCATCAAAGCACCAGGTTTGTGTGAATGAGTGAAGCTCTTGATAAAAAAAGCACTCAATTTTTTTTTTTTTTTTTTTACCCTGACTGTTTGATATCGAAGACTCATTCAAGCAGATTTACTTCTAAAGAGGTCAAGGAAGATTTCCATGATTTAGACACTGTTAAACACAATTTTTGAAGTTAAACGTTTTGAAATAAGAGTCCATGGTGAAAACTGCACGCAGTTCACATTAAAGATTAGTGCATGTAGCTGCTTGAAAAGAAGAAAAAAAAGCATTGACTTTCTTCATTCAGCATTTACCTGCCATTTGGTGAGGTACCCACCAACCACAGTAATATAAAAAAAAATACAGTACAACAGAATAATTTGTCAAAGAAGCAACCTCTCTTCAAGACTGTACTTTCTAGTCCTCCTTTTCATTTTAGATTGTCATATGTTTACTGCCTGTATCCCAATCTGTCACAAGCACACTATTAACCAATAGACTTAGAACAGATTCTACCAATAATGATTCTCTAATTTAAAGAAAAATTAATCTCAGCTGGTTTTCACACCACTGTCTTGAAAGCAAAATTTCATCAGTAATTGAGTCGTTTTGTAGAATTCTACTGCAGCCTTTGGTACATAAATTCTAAGGAGTAACAATACTCAAGAACCTAACCCTGCAAGCACATCAGTACTCTAACAGGACTTCAATAGTATTGTTAGCAATGACTTCAGGTATTTACAGGATCAGGCACTTAAATTGTGTATTATTCTTGCTGTTTTACTTCACCAATTTGAATGAAAAGTGCCATGGTATAGGATAAAAAAAGCAACTTCTTCAAAAATCAAAGCAGGACTTACACATGGAAACTATGATTACTCTAAACAACCTGCTTCATAATTAGAACAAATAATTTCCCCAGTAGTCCTTTACAAATCAGTAGGGTCCAACAGATTTCACCTAAGTCAGGAAGAAGACATTGTAAGAGAAGTTGTTTATGCACAGCATCTTTACAAGTACACTCCTTGTTATGTCTTTGATGAAGCATGAACATCCAGGAAAAACCCCTGTCATTTAATGTTAATTCTTCTTTTATGGGAATGGCAACCTAGACACACTTCAGTATAAAATACAGCTACTCAGCATTCCTCAGCACTGACCTTACACACACGTGAAGTTTAAATTTAAAACATGTAATTAACCTTCCTGAAACATGATACTCCATTCCTACTTAGGTGATATTCCCTTACTTGGGCCACAAAATGATTTCTGTACCCTTCTTCTAGGGCGTTGAGCATGAACAAAAGACCCAGTATCAGAGCGCTCATGTAACATTCATTAGTTTCTGAAGCTTTGCTCTGCACAGCAATCCACAGGACACCATTTTGCAGTACACGAGTACTGAGAGAGTTTGGAGTGCAGCATAAGTAGTTCCATACAACTTAGGGGGCAAAGCACACTGCATTGGTGAAGCTGCCACATCTTGCAGGGTAGATTCTATTACCTCCTTATATAATGTCCCTCATAGCTATACAGGGTGACAGCAGTCAGCTGTGAACTAACTCATGCAACTATAAAATACTCATTCGCAATCTGCTAGTCTAAAGAACCTGCAATAGTAAAACATACCCTATGCAGGAATTCAGCTTCTTCCTTCACAGAACAGAAACCCCTTTATGTCCATTTTTCTATGAAAGAATAAATTAAGGTGTCTCTTCCTTTACCCCTTTGCAGATTACTGAAATGTCTTCTGGAGTTAGGTTTGTAACAAAATGCATTTTTACAAAAGTACATGCCTCCACAATTTGCAGGATTTAGCAAGTCAAAACGGTACTAAAGTTTACTTTTGTAAGTGTGATTATGTGAATGTTTACTAGATTAATGCCATCTAAAAATATAGTGTTTTAAGATAAAAGTCTCTTCTTACAGACAAAAAGATAGTAGTTGAATAAGTGTATTTTAAAAGCAATGAGAACCGAACAGACAACAAGTCCTACCCAGCAGAACACTCACTTCTTTGCAATTCGGGCATTTCACATGTAAGAATACAGTTGTATACACTACATTGTGATTGCAAGTATCCTGAGCATACTTTCCTCTTTTGTGAACCTTCATAAGAGAAGTAATGTCAGCTCTAAGCATTAAAGAGGCATTAAAGTATATTATTCCCAAAATATATCCACAGTTGTTAAGTTGAATAGGGACAAAGCCTGAGTATCTTGGAAAGGAAGGTGGGGGGTAGATTATTTTTTAAATGAACTATATAAGTGGAAGGAAGGATTTTTAGCCAGTGTTATTTTCTTTCTCTTTCATTAGGTAGTAAAAGAGTTAGCATAACCTGTTTGGTTTTATGTTATCAAGAAAAAACACTAAAATTACAATTACTCAAATGAAAAGTACTCATTCATCCCTAATCAAAGCAGAAAGATTGATCAAATTGAACAATACCAAGTAGGATAATCTTTATATTAGCCTATTTTGATTACATGGTTAAAAAAAAAAAAAAGCATGCTGACCAATATCACGTGTATCAATGACACTACTGTGATTAAAACAAAAGTTAATGCATATATAGTGAAAAAAAATGAGTAAAACATTTTGTAAACTTATTTGGGAACAAATTTGCAACAGTGATTCCAGCTTTTACTAAATACATTAAGACAGCTGTCACAAGGGCCTTCTCCCTTTGGCTGAAATGCATTTTAAAAAAGCATGTTATGATCCGATAACGTAAAACTACATGCAAATACACATACATACATCTCGGCGTGCACACACACTTATAATATATACACATATACACACACAGAGAATACATATGGTGATACATGCTGTAAAAGGTTACCAGCATCAGAGCGATGTCCTACCACTGTTCCCAGCTAAAGTCATCTCCTCTACCAAACACAAGAAAAAAGCCTAAAATAGTAAGGAAAATGACTGCATTGCCAGCCAGCACCAGACCACAGGCTCCCCATTTGATCTGAAATGCAAGGAAATGAAACAATCAAAGCAGTTCTTATAAGATATTTTCAAGGCCAGTTATTTATGTGCATTAGATAAACTAAATGAAATACTACAGAAAGGTGCTAAAAGCATAAAGAAGAGAGACAAGCAATAAATAATTCCATTTATGTGACTAATTATTCAATTAGCAACCACTCGTATTACTAATACAACACTTCAACACACAGACTAATAATGCTATGTTTTAGAACAAAATAATTACCTTGCCATACAAATCACTAAAATGTACCTAAGTCATAGAAAAATCTGGTGAAACTAGTGCTCTCCTTTAATTGCTAAGCAACGAACTAAAAGATCGCCTTTCAAATAAATGCCAGCAACAAGCATGGAAAACAGGACGTGGTCTTAAAGCTAAATAGCTTTCTTTAACGATCTGCCCGACTAAGTTTAATCAAGTAAGAGACATTTACTCTTAAAAGATATAGCTATGAATTAGAGTTCCCCCTGGTGGTCACTTCTGGTTCTGCTTACTGTCAGGTCCACAACTTGAAAAATGCAGTGTCAGGGACATTGTGCGTTAAAAATAAATTAAAACTAAGCAGCACACAAGTTTGAAGTAATACTGAAAGACTGGAGGGGAAAAACAATGCAACACATAAAAACGTCATTGAATAGTTTGGAAGACAGGACGAAAAAGTTCTTTGCCTTGCAAAACAAATGAGACAAAAATCTCACCACTGAAGAGCAGTTCAGAAAGCAAAGAAAAAAGAAGCTAGCAGAATTTCCTCAGACTTTGAGGGGACAAAGCATGAGTTTGGGAAACGCTCTGAAAACCTGAAGGGCAGCTCTGGAAGTTTGGCCTTTTATCTTTTAACTGATAATGCACTCCAGTCACCAAGTTTTCAGCATCCTAAATGGAGAAAGCAGACATTCTGAGATAAAAATAGGGAAGGTGGTACAAGAAGCAGAGCAAAAGTTGACAACACAAAGAGGCCTGAGATGTAGGAGGAGATAGTATCTTGTATTGGACCAAAACGAATCTGGGAAAAAAACCCAGCTAAAAACTTTTCAGTCGTGCAGGCCCTTTGTTCAGGTCAAAAAGAAGCAGTGACAGACAAAATTTCAGCAGAGTGATTATTTTCATCGGAATCTAGAAATAGCACAATAATGAAATTAAAGACAGCATTTACAAGCAGCAACAGTGCACTTAAAGATTATACTCAGTAACTGGTGTCTTATAATAAAAATTAGCAAGCAGAACTTACCGCTTCAACCCGTGCAAGGATTATAGGAAATCCAAAGGCAGAAACAACAATTCCAGTTGTGAAGAAATATGCCAGTTCCCTGCAGGCACTGCTGGCTGCATCACTGTCATCACTTACTCTTTTTGCAATGAAGTGGGGAATAGGGCAGATGAAGTAAAATATTAAGACAAACAGAGGCCAGTATACACTGGGGAGGGGGGAAAAAGGAAATACACAATCAGTTTAGATGGATGCTTTAATAAAAAGTATCTTCTGTTTAGAAAAAATAATTGCAATAGCTGCAATCCTACTTTATGGTTTGAAAAGTAGATTACGTGATTTAACCACAAGCTTTCACCCACAAGGGCAATCTCACTTCGCTTTCCCCACATACTGGCACAAGCACGCATACAGCCCCACGTAGAGCAGGATCTGCTCTCTCAACACAGCCAAGCCTTCATTTATTTTAATTGGCATCACCTTGCTCATTCAATTCACACCACCACCTCACAAAAACACAGAGTCACCACACAGGGAACAGGAAATGCGTGCAAGCGGGACAGGAACCAAGAGCTTTCCCACATCAGAAGGATCCTGGAGTATAAACAAGCTGACCATGAAGGCACACCCTTGCACGCTCATCTTTTTGTGAGCGCTCTCGTTAGCTTCACCTGGATTTTTAAGTGTAATTTTAAGCTGAAGTCTTGCGGTAGGAGGGTTGTTTAAAGAAACAGGGAAGTAAGGGGAAGAATCGTGTAGACCTGTTTTCAGTCATTTTTTAGTGGCAATGCAAGTACTGGCTAAGGAGGCGGGATTTAGCAAACTGCCATGTGTCAAGAGCCAGGAAGCAGGTGACTGCTGGGCGGTGAGTAGAGCCGAGCAGCTCCATTAGATGAGACGAGCACCTCAATTAACAGATACGAAGAAAGGGAAGTTTTGGCAACGAAGCCGGCCCGCTCACCCGTAGTATTCCAGGGCACAGCCCAGCATGAGAAACGTCAGCCCGATGGCTCCGCTGAAGGACAGCGCCACGAGAGCTGCAACGGCACAAGGCAGGCGGTGAGGCGGGAGCCGCCTCACCCGTTACCGGTTACCCCCCTTCCCGCCACGCCCGCCTGCCCGCCCGCCCCCACGCTGAGGCGGTGCCTGGGAAGTGGAAGCGCAACCCGGTCCGCT